AGCAGTGCATACAATACAAAATAGAACATCTATCTATTTATTATAATTCTCTCTCCTTAATCGGCGATCCTATTTTCAGATGGTAAACCCAGTGAATTTTCCTTAGGCACTCCCTGCTCCCAGGGTGACTGCTTCTGTACCCGCCCGCGCGCCCCCGACGTCGAAACTACCGGCGGCCCAGCGCGGCGGAGCGAGGGGCGGAGGTGGCACAGGACCCAAGAGGGGCGCAGGGAATCGGTCAGGCTCTCTCAAGAGCTTGGATTCAAGGTCCGGCCTGGAGAGGGTGTGGATAGCTCACCCATCGCGGGGGAGCGGGGTCTGGGTTGGAGCGCGAATTCGGCCGAAGGGGCTGACTAGGGCGGGGAGGTCAGGGATTCGGCAACTCATTGATGGGAGCGTTATTCAAGGTCGGCCAGGGCCAGCGGAGGGGGCGCTGGCTGAGCAGGACCCTTAAAGGCATGGACAAAAGTTTGTGGCTTGGGCCTGATGGTGGCTGGGGCTTCTAGGGTCACAGGAGGTTGGGTTAGACTGGACAATGCCCCAGGAACAAGGGATCAAATTAGTCACTGGCAGGGGATGGTGCTGGGACAGGCAGAGACAATAAGCTCCAAGCCCCACCAGGCTAGGAAGTGCTGGATGCCTGAGGGCAGAGCCAGGGAAGTAGGCATGGCCAGTTTGGGTTTTGCAGAGAGTCCCAAGGGCATAGGACTAGGCGGACACTCCCCATCCTGCCCCCCACCTCCCCATGGGCCCATACCTCCCCACGCCTTCATGCCCTTCAATACAGATTTTCAGGGGCACAGAGTCTGCAGCCCAGCACCCTTCCCATCCCACCCAGGCGCCAGCTTTGCCCAGGGCAGAGACAGTCTGTGTGAGTGGCAGGAGGCTGGCAGGAGGCTGAGGCCTACAGGCCTGTTTACCCTCCTGGGAAAGGCGGTAAGAAGGGCAACCACAGCAGCACTGACCCAGACAAATACCACATTTATTTCACAAACACTGGGAAGACAGTTTGGGGGAGGAGGTGGGACGCAGGTGCAGAGCTGCACAGTCCTCAGCAGCCCACTCCCCACACTGAGGATCCAGCCAGGCAGGGCCTCCAAGTCGACAGGCAGCAAGAAGTGAGTGCAGGGAGGGCCCAGAACACCGAGCCCTGCGAAAGGGGCGCAGCTCCAGCTGCCCCAGGAAAACCACAAATAAATAAGAGTGGGGCGCGGCCCCACACAGACCGTCTAGTCACCCATCTTCACTCTGGAGGTCTGCAAAACAAGAACAGGAGAAATCAGGTAGAGACAGAGGAATAGGTAAGAGTGACAAATGACAGAAGATCAGACCTAACAAACTCATGGTGAGATGGACAGATGACAACAGGGGGACAACTAGACCAGAATGGATATGCTGTGACAGACAAACACAGATGAACAGGGACAGTCAGGCTGTGGGACAGAAAGGTGGAGGGAAGTGGCATATAGACAATGGCAGTCACCAAGAGTCAACCCAGTCAGGCACCCCCAGTCACCCTCAGGTCCTCAAGCTGATCGTTAGCCACAAACTCAGACAATGTCAGACAGATAAGACACGATTTAGACATGCTATTCAACTGACAGCATAGATACACACAGGCCCTGCTAAACACAGTCAAACACGCCGAGACAGACTTATTTGGACACAGACAAGATCCCAACCATGGAGACAAACAAAAAGAGAGATACTAAATGAAACACAGCCAAACACCAGGGGGGGGGGGGGGGGGGCGGGAAATAGGACAGTTGTCAGTGTTTCCTGATTAGAAACAAAATTAAGCCAAAAGCTTCAAAAGGGGAAAACCAGAAGATGGGAACGAGGTGGTAGAAGCTGTTCAGGGGTTCCACGGGTGGAGGCAGGAGCACTGTAGCTCCTCTGGAAGGAGGGCGCGTCTGGGTTAGGGACAAGGACAGAGGCTCCCCAGCATTCAGCACCTGTAGGATCGCGACGATGACCCCAAAGAGGCCGATGGCGCTGCCGAAGATCTCCACGATAAGAATCTTCACAAAGAGGCTGGGGTTCTGGGCATCAGCCAGGGCGGCCCCGCTGCCCACGATGCCCACGCAGACGCCACAGAAGAGGTTAGACAGGCCCACGGTGAGGCCGGCTCCGAACATGGAGTAGCCTGGGGGAATGGAAAGGGGGCAGTGAGGCCAATCACAGACCCACTGTGCAAAGCAGGCCCAAGTAGGTGACCAAATATCAAAACAAGGTGTCTAAACTGGGGGTGGGAAGGGGAAAGCAGATGCCCTAGCGGTTTGCCTTCACACACACACCTACCTGCATGATAGTTTCGGTGGCCAATGGCTTTGGGGTCAGTGGCACTGAAAGGCTGAGGGAGGCAGAGAAGTCATCAGAAACCAACCTCTAGGCTCCTCTGTACTCCCCAAGCAATGTGCGGAACACACTGGAATGGATCCTCCCCTACCCCCCGCCATACTCCATACCTCAGCCATGTTGCTAAGGACAATTGCCATGATGATGCCGTAGATAGCCACAGCCTCACAGAAGATGATGCTGGAGGTAGTAGTGGTGGGCAAAGGGGGTTGAGAGGAGAAAGAGATTAGAGAGCAATCAACCTTCCTCCTCACAGAGTCCCCCGTCACCTTTCCCCCACTAGCATCCCACCTTATCAGGAGGCTGCTCGGGAGCAGAATGTCAAGTCAAACAAATGGGCAGCTCCCAATGCAGCTGGTTCTGACAGCCTTCCAAGGGCCCTAACTTACCTGACCAGGTTCTTGGTCTTGATCCGAGGGGCCTTCACCCCTCCCCCAATGATGGATGAGCCAGTAATATAGATGC